AGGGTTGCGATCCGTTGCTGGACACGGAAAAAAGACAAAAAGACAAAAAAAAAAAAAAATTGCAGCCCCAGTGCCCAGCATCTGAGACAGCTCAGTGAGATTAGGTCTTACTATTTATTGTGCCTTTTATGAGCCAAGCACTGTGCTGAGCATCTTGTTTGTTGATTTTATGCATTTATTTCCATAACAAACATTTGTATAGTATGAGCCCTGTGCCAGGCTCTGGTCTAAGCACTTTACAAATACTGACGACCCACATGGGCTGCGTCATTTACTGCTAACACAGCTCTTCCATGCAGGTACTGTATGGTCTCATGTAGGTGAGGAAATCTAAGTGCAGGGAGGTTGAGTTGCCCGAGTCATATCTGTTGGATGGAGGTGCTTGGATTCGTGCCCACGTCTGTCTGCTCCTGAGCCTGCGTTCATGTCCTTCACTCCCTGTAGTCGAGGCTGGCACCTTCCTTGTCCCCTTCCTTGTGGTCACCTCCAGGGCCCTTCCTGCTCCTTGGATGCCTGCCTTGGCTTGTCTCTCCTCTCCTCTCTCCCCACTTTCTCTTCCCTTTTCTTCTCCCCTATCTCCCCCTGGGGAGACCTCCTTTCCTTCTTCCTTCCTTCCTTTCATTGAGGTACACCACACGCAAGTGCACAAATCTTACAGCTCAGTTCATTGTTAAATGTATTTACACCCATGTCACCACCACCCAGGACTAGATAGAGAACATTTCCATCCCCCCAAAGCCTCTCTTGCGCCCTTTCTGAGCCAGTGCTCCCTCCCCAGGTAACCTCTCTTCTAACTTCTTTCACCATACATTGGGTTTACCTGTCCTTCAACTTCATATAAGCAGAATTCCGCAGGATGTCGTCTCTTTGAATGGCTTTCTGCATATCCTTTTGTCTGTGAGATTCATTCACGTTGTAGTTAGCTGGAATTCATTCTTTTTCATTGCTGTCTAATGTTCCATGGTGTGAATATGACACCGTTTATCCGTTCTACTGTGAGGGACATGCAGGTTGTTACTAGTTTGGGACTATTGCGAATGAAGCTGCTATGAACTTCCATGTGCATGTCTTTCAGTGGACGTAAGCCCTCATTTCTCAGGAATGGAATTGGGGGGGCCTAGGGAAAGTATTTGTTTGGCATTAATAGATACTGCCAACCATTCTCCAAATGGTTGTACCAACTTACAATACTAGAACTTTCCCATCAGCAGCATGGAAAGTTCTATGTGTTCTCTATCCTCACCAGCACTTGGTATTGTCGGTCTTTTTAGTTCTAGCCACTCTGACAGGTGAGTGGAAGTATCTCACTGGGGTTTTAATTAACAATTTTCTGATGACTAGTGACATTGAACACCTTGTCATGCACTTGTTGGCCATTGCAATCTCTTTTATGAAGAATCTATTCGAGTCTTTCACTCATGTTTTAATTTAATTTCTTTCTTTTTCTTCATGATTTGTAGAAGTCATTTATAGGCTATGGGCACAAATCCTTTCTTGATATGTGTATTATAAACCTCTCCTTCTGCCCCGGTATATATGGTGTGTGTTTTCACGGTCTTAAAGGTGATGAATAGAAGTTCTTCATTTTATTGAAGCCCAATTATCGGACTTTCTTTTATGGTTTATCATTTTTGTGTCCCGTTTTAGTAACCTTTGCCTACCCCAGGAAGCATGTCTCAATTGGAATTTTTTCCTGCAGGCCGGGAATGGCCACATGGAACAGGCTGGCCGAGCCAGCTGCAGAGGGGCAGCCGCCTCTGCCCACGGGCCGGGAGCTGACTGAGGCCAACCGCTTTGCCTATGCCGCCCTCTGTGGCATCTCCCTGTCCCAGCTATTTCCAGAACCTGAGCAAAGGTGAGTTCTTTTGTCTCGCAGAGGGAAGGCCATGCTGCTTCAGGGAGACGATTAATAACTGCCCAGGGACCTGCCAGGTATTATAGGACAATACCTAGTCATTGTCCTTGCCTTTAAGGAACTCACAATTGGGTAAGGATGTAAGATATCCCCTCATTCAGTTATTCACTCATTTATACCTTCACCAAGCATTTTTCTGAGCACCTACTGTGTGCCAGGCACAATTTGAAGTATACAGAAGGTATATGTGATTAACACAAATGAGAACAATGCCCTACCTTCCCTCAAGTAGACACAGTTGAGTAGGGGGATAAGATCTTTACTCACTCGTGAAACATGCATTTGTTGAGAAGCTACTATGTGCTGGGTGTCATGCATGGCCCTATGGAGGAAACAAAGCAGAGCAAGGCCTGGCTCCTGTCCCCAAGGTGCTTACTTCTCAGCAAGGTCGCCCACCTGGCTGATTGTAGCAACAGACAGACACAGAAGAGTAAGTGCCCTGATGGGTTGAAACAGGGTGTCATGGGAGCCAAAGAACAACAAGTTTAATGACAGTGTTATGTTTAATGTCTGTCATTGCCGATATCTACCATGTGTGTGTTTCAGTCACGTATTCGGAGTCAGAATAGCAGAATTGTCAAGAGCATGGGCTGTGGCTTAAAGGATTCAAGAGGGCAGGGTTTGGAGGCAGGAGGAGGTCAGTTAGGAGGCTGAAGGGGGAACTGGGCCAGTGAGTGACGAGGTGAGGAAGGGCACAGATGGGACAGACTTTTCTCAGGGAGAATGGAGTCGACTTGGGAACAGGTTGAATGTTGGGGGTGGGGCAGAGGGAGGATCTCACTATGGCTCCAAAGGTTTAGGCAGGGAGAAGACCTAGGAGGACAAAGATATTACTAGGACAGGGAGCAATGGGCTGGGGGCTGGAGACAAGTGTCTGCAGTGTTTTTGAGACACCCATCCCCTACTCTCACTCAATAGTCTTGTGCATATGAGTAAACTTCTCTTATGCCTTGGGTTTTAGCCATTTGGGGTTTTGGAGTTTTATTTATCTTTGTCTCTCTACTAGACTGAATACTTGAGCACATTCGTCTTCTTGAGGGTCACCTCCGGAAAGCCTTACCTCACCTGCCCCCTAGACAGGGGTGTTCCTCCACCTGTATGCCCAGTGACCCATTGCAGCAACCACCACACTACCCTGGAACTCTTCCCGTACCCACCACCCCTCCTGTTTGAGCTCCTGGAGGGCAGGAACTGCCTTGTTCATCCCTGAGTCTTCAGTGCCTTGCTCACAGCTCAGTGTAGCAGACACTCGACAAAGGTTCATGAAAAGAAGGTGTGGATAAATGCTGGCTTTATTAGCAAGGAGACATCTCGTAAGCGTTGGACTCAGATCCAGGTTCAAATTTTAACTCTTACCACTTTCCAGTTGTATGTGACCTTGGCAGATTATTTAACTTCCCTAAGCATCAGTCTCTTCATCTGTAGAATGTGGCTAATAATACCCACCCTGCAGGGTGCTTTCAAGGATTAAATGAGATGATGTAGGTAAGGCACACGTCACAGAGCCAGGCCCATAGTAGGTGCTTCATTAATGGTAGTGGTTGCTTGCTGACTCTGTGACTTACTTCTTTGCCCCAGTGTACTCATCCGGAAAATGAAGATACTACCAGAACTTACTCCTACCAGTCAGGGTGTTTTTGACTGCAAATAACAGAATGTGATACTAAAACAGATTTAAACAACAGGAGATTTATTTTTTTTACTTAAAAAGAAATCCAAAGGTAGATAGTGCCAGGGTTGATTTAGTGCCTCAAAAGGCCTTTGGGTTGGCTTCTCTGCAGTTCTCTTGGCCTTTCCCTCCTGATCACAAAATAGCTGCTGCAGCTCCATCCATCACACCCTCACAGGACAAGGCCCAAGGCAGGAAGGAGGAGAGGGCAGGGAGTCTCCTCAAGTCTCTCATCAGGAAGCAGCTCTTTCCCAGAATACCCAGAGAAGTCTTCCTTTTGTGTCACTGGCCAGATCCAGTTGCATGCCCAAGCCTCAGCTGCAAGAGAGCATGAGAAAAACTAAAAGCATTTGTCCTTTGCAACCTCCACCATGGGAGATTGGTTCTGCTGGCCTGGAAAAAATAGCCAGCATTGTCTGCAACAGCATCAGAAATGGTACTTGTAGGAGGGCACGTGTCGATGGCCCCTGCAGAGCCTGGCACAGAGTTCCTGCCAAACAAATATTGGGTGCTCTCATTATTAATAATGAAACCCCTACCTGATAAACCAGCACATAGCCAGGGAAGAGCTCTGCATACTTCGTTTCCATAAACAAATATTTATGAACCTGGACTGTGTGCCAGGCACCACCCAGGAGGGCACATAGGGAAGGAAGTTATTGCCCTGTGTGCCCCCCACCCCCCACGTCCAAGTCTTGTTCTAAGCACAGGCAGTTGTTGCCTAGCCATAAGCACCTGCCTTGGGGTGTTTCCTTCTTGAATGTTCCCGATTCATTATGCTAGTTGTTTCCTCGTGGTTGGTCTCAGTTTTTTGAGGCACAAAACATTTTTTTTTTAATCTCAGTCTTTTTATTTATTTTTATTTATTTATTATTTTGTGGGGTGGCTGGCCAGTATGGGGAACCAAAACCTTGATCTTGGTGTTACAAGGCTGTGCTCTAACCAACTGAGCTAACCGGCTAGACTAAAACCCCAATCTTTTTATTTTTATTTTTTTTCACAATGGAGCAAGGCTTTATTATAAGTGCATCAATTGCAGGAAAGTCTTCATGAAGACACAAATCCACACTTGTCCAGCATGGGAGTGTTCACACTGGAGAAAATCCTTATAATTGCAGTGATTTGGGGAAATCTTTTGGCCACAAGTACAGCCTCATCAAACATCAGTAATTCACACTTAGGCAAAGTCTTTTGAGTGCATCGAATGTGGGAAATTCTTTAGTTGAATCTCTGACTTTATTTCACACCAGAGGGTTCACACTGGCAAAAGGGCTTTTGTGTGCAGTAAATGTGGGAAAAACTTCATCAGAACCTCCCACCTAGTTTGGCACCAAAAAGTTCACACTGGGGAAAGGCCACATGAATGCAGTGAATGTGGGAAAGCCTTGAGTTCCCACCTCATTTGTCACCGGAAAATTCATGGTGCGAGAAGGCTTTAGAAGTGCTTTCAACACAACAGGACTCACCAATCAGTTGTTGAACCTCATATACCTGAACATTCACTCAAGGGAGGTAACTAATGAGTGCCAGGTATGTGGGAAGCTTTCAGGAGCTATGTTGCACACTCTGACCTGCTCAGGTTCCTTTTTAGAGTTACGTCACCATCAGTACCTGTAGCTGAAACATCTACCAGCTTAGTCACCCCAACATCCTCAGGGAAGGCAAAACTTTGTACTCTCTCTCCAATTTCTGGAAGGACTCATGAGAAACCTGAGTTCAGTGGGGGTCCTCCTTTCCTCCTCTCTTACTGGTATAAGTAGACATGACCCATCTTTAGCCAAGAGGACCTGAGCTGTGTTCTGCTGGTAGCTTACAGACGTTTACTTTCTGCATGGACATTGTAGGTCTCATGTGATACTTGTGATAGATTTTTCCAGCCTCCAAGTCACCCAACTTGGGAAAGCACTTGCCTCATGTTGCTCTGGTGAAAGCTCAATCTTTTGAAAGCCTAGATATGCTGTTGGTGTCAATAAACATCTTTAGAAACCACTCTGGCGGTTTGGGGGCATAAAAGCAAACCTCTAAAATATTTATTTCTTATTCATGCTGTAAACATCTCTGATGCTATTTCCTACAATTAATTCTATTAATTAAACATGGGGTAGAGCCGAGGTTGGAAAAATTCTACCAAGGGCTAGATATTTTAAGCTTGCGGGCCAGGGGGTCTCTGTCACAGTTACTCAGCTTTGCTGCTGTAACCCAAAAGCAGCCCGAGAGAGTGTGTAAAGGAATGGGTGTAGCTATGTTCCAGTAAAACTTTATTTACAAATCTGGGCTGCAAGCTGGGTTTGGCCCCTGAGCTACAAGTTCGCTAACCCCTGGTGAATGCAAGGAGCTTTGGACTAGGAGTCAGGAAGCCTGGATTCCAGATGAGGCTTTGCTACTTCCCTACTGTGAGACCCTGGACAGCTGCAGCCCAGCTGCTACATCCGTGAGGTGGGGTCAGATGAAAGAGGATTTTTGATGCCCCTGCTTAGTGGGTGTCCAGCGCATTGTGAATGCTCAGTAATGTGAGCACTGGGGAGGGGCAGTCTCCACAGGGAGTGAGCATGGCCTTTGGGGTCTGAGAGATGTAGGTTTGAACCTGGAGCTGTCACTTAACCTTCTGGATCTGGGTTTTCTTATCTCTTGAATGGGGATAAAATAGCACCTCCCTCCCTGGTGAGATTGCGGTGAGAAGTAACCAATGGTGTGTATAAAGCATTCGGCACAGAGACTGATAGATAGTTGCTCTGCAGTTATTATCTGTGACATTGGTGCTGTTGATTTTCATGTATTTCAACTTGACCACCGACCACATTAGTAGTAATTATCAAGCTCTGCCTATCTAAAGGCCTACTCGTTATTTGATAAATTGCTGTCCTGGCACTTTATACATACCTAGTTAATCCGTCGAACAACCCTATGAAATATGAGGGGACTTCAAAAAGCTTGTGGAAAAATTGCATTAAAGGATGAAAATAAAAAATATAAACTTTATTTCTGAACATAACCTCCATTAAGTTGAAGATACTTTTGTAAGGGGTGATACCAGCCATTTAGTCCATCCCTAAAGAACTGAGGGTCCTGGGAATTTAACCATGTCAATGAGTCTTTTTTACATTATTAAAGGAAAAATGGGTGCCCTTTAAAGATTACTTGAGATTAGGAAACAAGAAGTCAGAAGGAGCCAAATCAGGACTGTAAGGTGGACAGCTAATGATTTCCGATCAAAACTCTCACAAAACTCCCCTTGTCTGATGGGAGGAATGAGCAGGAACATTGTCATGATGGTGAAGGACTCTCTGGTGAAGCTTCCCCAGGCATTTTTCTGCTAAAGCTTTGGCTAACTTTCTTCAAACACTCTCATAATAAGCAGATATTCTCATTCTTCGACCCTCCAGAAAGTCAACAAGCAAAATGCCTTGAGCATTCCAAAAAAGTGTTGCCATGATCTTTGCTCTTTTTTTGCACCTCTTGGTAGCCACAGCTTTGCTTGTGCTTTGTCTTCAGGATTGTACTGGTAAAGCCATGTATCATCTCCTGTTACAGTTCTTCGAAGAAATGCTTCATAATCTTGATCCCACTCGTTTAAAATTTCCATTGAAAGCTCTGCTCCTGTCTGCAGCTGATCTGGGTGCAACAGTTCTGGCACCCATCAAGTGGAAAGATTGCTCAACTGTCATTTTTCAGTCAGAATCGTGTAAGCTGAACCAGTTGAGATGTCTGTGGGGTTGGCTGTTGTTTCTGCCGCTCATCATCCGTCCTCTTCCATTAGGGCATGAGCAAGATTAATTTTTTTCCTCACAAATTGATGTGATGTTCTGCCACTACAGGCTTCACCTTCAACGTCTTCTTGTCCCTTCTTAAAACAAGTTGTCCATTTGTAAGGTGCTGATTTCTTTGGGGCATTGTCCCCATGAACTTTTTGTAAAGCATCAGGGATTTCACCATTCTTCCACCCAAGCTCCATCATAAATTTGATGTTTATTCTTGCTTCAATTCTAACAGAGTTCTTACTGCTGTGATCGGGGCTCTTTTCAAACTGATGTCTTATCCTTCTTAGTGCCTCAAACTAGATCCTGGTCAGACATGTTGTAAGTCACTACAAGTTTATTTTGGTGCAAAAAAAATCTGCAATCCATGCATAGCTTCTTCATAATGCACACTTTTCATGAACACTTTGAAGACCCCTTCGTAGGTTTTATCATTCTTGCCACTGCTTTACAGATAAAGAAACTGAGGCACAGAGAGGTGAAGTCACTTGTCCAAGGTCACACAACTAGTGGCAGAAGTGGGATTTGAGCCAGAGTCTGTGCTCTTTCCCCCTGCTCTTTTTTTATGAGATGCTCCTTTACATCCAAGACTTTCTTCATGGACAGCAGGGCCAGGCATGCTTGGTCCTGAGCCCTTTCTGCATCTAAATTTACCCCTAAGTAACATGCAATTCACTTAGTCATCCCCTGCGCCCCACATACACCCATACACCACCAGCATAATCCCAGGAGACTGCAGTGGGGTAAATTATAATAACTGTAATAGTAGTAGCTAACATTTATTGAGGGTTTACCAGTGCCGGGCCCTGTTGCCATGTCATTTAGTTTTCCCAACTAATCTGTGAGGCATCTGCATTTTACAGCAGAGGAAAATGAAGCTAAGAGAAGTAACGCAAGGACACCAAGCCAGTCACCAAGGGAGCCAGGCCTCCCCCAGGCAGCTGAACTGCAGAGTCTGACTCTTAATCCTGTTCCCCACCACCTCCCTTTGTTATCTTGTACATGAAAATAGTGATGCTAGCCAACATTAGCTGAGCATCTACTGCATGCCAAGCCCTGCTCTGGGTGCTTTATATGTATCATCTCATTTAATCCTCAACCAACCTTATGAAGTTAGTCTCCTAAACCCATTTTGCAGATAAGGACACTGAGGCACAGAAAGGTCAAGTTTCTTTCCCAAGGTGCTGTGCCTCTCAGATCCCCCTTCAGGAATGAAGGAACCCCTGCCCCCACTGCTACCTCCGCCCCAGCTGCCAGGAGGACTGCCGGCACAGCCCTGAGCTGTCTGTCCCCTTTGGGACCTGCCTCAGCTGAAGAGAGCCACCTTGGCCCAGGCTCTGCTCCCTGCCTGGAGTACCTGCATCCGGTGACTGGCCCAACCCTCTCATCCTACTGCGGGCAACTCCAAAGGGTCACCGAATCTTCAGAACCCACCCAGGGTGTGCTGAGGCTTCCTTTGTGGCTACGTCACTGCTCGGCTGCACCCTCTGCCCAGCCCTGCTTCCTGCCTTCCCTCCCACAGGGGTTGGTCTCCAGGGGAGCCTTAATAATCTCCATTTCAGAGCATCTTCCCAGCACCAGACCATAACAGTGGAGAGGATTTGGAGCTGAGCTCTTCACCAGTCCCATCAGCAGCCCTGGCCTTGGAGGTGCTCTCCACTTGGGCTTTGGCAGCAGCAGCTCTAAGAAATGGGGTGGTTGGGCTTCGTGGTGCAAGGGCTGAGGGACTCCTGAGGTCACCCCCAGCACCAGGGAGCTCTGCTTGCTTCTGGGAAGCCTGTGCCACTCCATCTGGTCACAGTCCCTACAGGGTGCAGGACACGGTGCTGGAATCTCAAGGCAGTGTGGTTTACACCTCCTAATTGACCCCCCTGCTCTACATACCCCCACCCACCCATCACCCACCTCCCTCTCACATCACAGAGGGTGGCTCTGCATCAGAAATCTGATGCAGACACTGTCGAAGTCCCCAAATGCCCTGTGCTACCTGCGTCTCAGTTCAAGAGGTTCCTTCTTTTCTAGAGCAGCACCCCCCACCAGGGGACTCCTGTAGGACCCCACTCAAATGCCTGCTGTGGACAGAGACCCCCAGTGGCAGTGCATGTCCTCTTCACTTCCTCCACTTCTGCAGTGGCTGACTTTTTTCCAGAAAGCACATCCTTGGTGATTTCCAAGAGCAGCAACTTAACTCCTCTGAGAAGCCTTTCCTGGTCGTTGCCCATCACCTCTACAGCTGGATTTGGGGTTCCCTCTCTGGGCTGCGTAGGACTTGATTCCTGCCTCTGTCCTGGCATATCACAGATCACACGGTACCAGGATCCTTCAGTTATGTGTGTGACTCCACTGCTGAGTCGTCATTAGAGACCGCGTCTCTTCAGCTTTGATTCTCAGTCCCCAGCATAGCCCAGGCCCAGGGCACATGGTCAGTAACTGCCTGGTGCTCTCATCCCTGTGGCTTATCAACCACTTTGGTAAAAGTTTTGGTGGGACAAGAAACTAAAATCCCCATCACCTGCAATTAGGTTTCGACTCTGCATTTCATGGATCACAGTCGTGTGTGTGCCGGCTGTTCACACCTGTGGCCATGACTCACCTAAACTTGCCACTGGCCTTAGGAGGCCGAGTTCCGAGAAGCCCCAGGATCTAAGCCATATCTCTCTTTCAGCTCCTTCTGCATGGAGTTTGTGGGGGGCCTGGTGAAGTGGCTGGAGTTGTCCGAAGCTGTCTTGCCAACCATGACTGCTTTTGCCAGCGGCCTGGGGGGCGAGGGAACAGACGTGTTTGCTCAGATTTTATTGAAGGACCCCATCTTGAAGGGCGACCCATCCATGATCACGCAGGTATGCCTAACGTGGGTGGCGGCTGCCAGGGACAGTAGAACAAATCATTCCTTCCAAAACCACTCTGAAAATTGTTTCTAGTGGGGTGGGGTGGTTGAAAGATAAAACGTTGCATTATAATATCATATTAGGATGATGATCATGGCTGATGTTAAATTATCATTATTGAATATTTACTATCAACTCAATGTTCATATACTGCCTATTATGTGCTAGTACCTTTACTAAAATTAACATTTTATTCTCAAAGGAACTTTATAAGGTAGGTAGTATGATCAACCCCCATTTTATAGATGAGAAAACTGAGGCACAGAGAGGGTAAGTAACTTGCCCAAGGTCACACAGCTGATAAGTGGCAAGGCCAGGATTTAAACCATGGCTGTCGAACTCCAGAGCCGTGTTCTACTAAACTGTGATGCCTCTTTTCAGAATCAGCAGCTTTGCTGTGTGCCCTGGGGCATGTCACTCACCTGTTCTGTGTGCAGTTCAAGCAGACAAAAGCTTATGGCACGGGCTTCTGGTGGGCAAGTGTGTAGATTTAAAACAGCTCCTTCCCCTCCTTTACAAGTATTTCACCACCTGAAGTTCTCGCATATTTATTTACTTCTTTGCTTACTTGTTCATTATTTGGCTCACCCCTAGAGTATAGGGCGGAGGGTTTTTGTCTGTCTTGATCTCCCACTTGGCAGGAGTCAATAGGTATTCGTCCAATAAGTTGGCTGATTGCACGTCAACATATCACTGATTCCTGTTACCTTTTCCCACAGGATCTTCTGAGCTTCTCACTCAAGGATGGTAAGTGATTTTCTAAGTTCTGGAAATTGTGGGTGCCCATCTTTGCCCCCAGCCAGTGAAGCCAGTGATGGGTGCTGCCACCTGTGACCAGGTGCCCCGTGGCCTTTTTGGCACGAGCAAGGAAAGGGAGCCAGTATCATCGGTGAGCTGGTGAGCTCTTCGTTCATGCCGAGCGCTGGGTGGTGCTTCTTAGCATTTATGTCATTTGTTCCTCACAGTGGCCCTGTGTTTACCTCCTAAGTAGCTCTTGAGTCTGGCCCCTTCCCCATCTCCACCCAGCACCCTGGTCTAAGCCACCGTCACCCCTCCTGGATGTCAACAGGAGTCTCCTCGCTGGTCCTCCACCACCACCCCAGCCAGCAGTCTGCTTGCCACCCTGCCACTTGAGTGCTCTTTCCCAGTCCCTGCTGTCCATGTTCTCTCCCTGCGTAAAACCCACTGGCGGCTCCCACTGCCCTCGGGAGAAACACCAGCCCCTCAGACGGGGTTCTCGAGGCCCTAGTGGGCTGGCCCCTGCCCCCGCCTCCAGCCTCATCCATTGATACAGCCACCCTGCTCAGTGTGGCTCTGACCATCCCAGCCCCCTTGCAACTCCCGAGAGCACAGTGCTTTCTGCACCGTGGGTCTTTACACGTGCCCTGCCACGACTGGAGAACTCTCTCCCCGCCTTGCCTCCTTACCTGCTACTTTCCCTTCATCCCCCATTCTGTCATCACTTCCCTGGGGAAAGCTTCCTGGCCTCCTGACTGGGACCCTCCCTGGCACCGTGCCGACCACAGTTGCAGTTGTATACCCAGTGATGCTATGTGATAACTGACTTCCCCACCAGATAGATCTTATTGTCCCATTTCATGGATAAAGAAATCAGCTTAGAGAGGTTAAGCAATTTACCCAAAGTTGCACAGTAAGTGGCAATGTGGAATTCCACCTGTGTTAGTGTCCTAGGGCTGCCGTAACAAGTCAGTACAAACTGGGTGGCTTAAAACAACAGAAATTCATTCTCTCACGGTTCTGTAGTCCAGAAGTCTAAAATCAAGGTGTCAACAGGTGTCAACACGCTCCCTCTGAAAGTGGTAGGGGAGAATCCTTTGTGCTCTTTCAGCTCTGATAGCTCCAAGCGTGGCTGGGCTTGTGGCTGCGTCACTTCAGTCTTTCCCTTCGTCTTCCTGTGGCCTTCTCTCCCTTCTTCTCTCCTCTGTGTCTCTTTTTTTGTTTTTCTATATATTTTTTGGAAACATAGTTGATTATATGTATCTGTGAGGTACAGTGCTGACTATCAATACCTGTGTACAATATATGATGCTTGAATCAGGATAATTACTATATTTATCACTACACAGTGTAATCATTTTTTGTAGCCAATTTCTCACTAACCCCTCCTCCCCCTCCCCCTTTCCCACCTCTGGTGGTCTCAGTTCCATTCTCTCCTTTTGAAAGTTCAACAAAGTATAGTGATTGTTGTCTCTTTCTTTCTTTTTTTATTCATTTACTTTTTTTAGCTCCCACTTATGAGTGAGGACATGAAGTATTTTTCTGTCTGTGCCTGACTTATTTCACTTAACACAATTTTCTCTAAGTTCATCCATGTTGCTGCAAATAGCAGAATTTCATTCTTTTTTATGGCAGAGTAGTATTCCATTGTGTATATATACCACATTTTCCTTATCCAGTCATCTATCAATGGACATTTAGGTTGGTTCCAACTCTTGGCTATTGCAAATAGAGCTGCAATAAACATGGGAGTACAGGTGTCCCTTCAACATGATGATTTCCATTCCTTGAGGTATATACCCAACACTTGAATTGCTGGATCATGTGGCAGTTCTATATGTAGTTGTTTGAGGAACCTCCATACTGTTTTCCATAATGGCTTCCAGTACATGCTGTTTTGGTTATTATAGCTTTGTGGTATAATTTGAAGTCAGGTAGTGTTATGCCTCCAGCTTTGTTTTTTTTGCTCACGATTGCTTTGGCTATTTGTGGTCTTTTGTTTATCCATATGAATCTTAGGATTGTTTTTTCTATTTCTGTGAGGAATGTCATTGGTGTTTTGATGGGGATTGCATTGAATTTGTATATTGCTATTGGTAGTGTGGACATTTTCACAATGTTTATTCTTCCAATCCAAGAGCATGGAATGTCTTTGCATCTTTTTGTGTTCATTTTAACTTCCTTCAGCAGTGATTTGTAATTCTCTTTGTAGAGATCTTTCACCTCCTTGGTTAAATTGATTCCTAGGTATTTTAATTTTTTGGTGACTGTTGTAAATGAGCTTGCTTTCTTGATTTCTTTTTCTGCTAGTTCATTATTGGGATATACAAACACTACTGATTTTTGAGTGTTGATTTTGAATACTGCAACTTTACTGAAATCATTTATCGGCTCTAAGAGTTTTTTGGTAGAGTCTTAAGGTTTTACTATATATAGGGTCATGTCATCTATAGACATGGACAGTTTGACTTCATCTTTTCCATGGATGCCCTTTATTTTTTTCTCTTGCCTGATTGCTCTGGCTAATACTTCCAATACTATGTTAAATAGGAATGGTGACAGTGGGCATCTTTGTCTTGTTCCTGTTCTTAAGGAAAAGCTTTTGGCTTTTTAGCTCCTTTCCTCATTTTTTAATTGGGTTACTTGTTTGATATTTATGCTTTCAGGTTTTCCCCATTCAGGATGATATTGGTGGTGGGTTTGTCGTATGTGGCTTTTATTGTGTTGGGATGCTTGCCTTCTATACCTAATTTGCTGATAGTCTTTATGATGAAGGATGTTAAATCTTGTCAAATGCTTTTTCTGCTTCTGCTGAGACAATCATATGGTTTTTGTCTTCGATTTTGTTGATGTGGTGTATCACATTTATTGACTTATGTACAGTGAACTATCCTTGCATCCCTGGGGTGAATCCCAATTGATCATGATGTATAATTTTTTTGATGTGTTGCTGGATTCTGATTGCTAATATTTTGTTGAGGATTTTTGTGTCTGTGTTCATCAGAGATATTGGCCTGTAGTTCTCTTTTTTCGTTGTATCTTTGTGAGATTTTAGTATTGGGGTAATGCTGGCCTCATAGAATGAGTTTGGGAGATGGCCTGTTTCAATTTTTTGGAATAGTTTGAAGACAATTGGTATTAATTCCTTTTAAAGGTCTGGTAGAATTCAGCAGTAAAGCCATCTAATCCTGGGCTTTTCTTTGTTGGGATACTGCTGATTACTGCTTCAATCTCATTGCTTCTTATTGGTCTATTCAGGTTTTCTATTTCTTCTTGGTTCAGTCTTAGTAGTTTGTATGTATCCAGAAATTTATCCATTTCCTCCAAGTTTTCAAATTTGTTGGAGTACAGTGTTTATAATAGTCTCTAATGATTCTTTGTATTTCCGTGGAATTGGTTGTAATGTCTCCTTTTTCATTTCTGATTTTTGTTATTTGGGTCTTCTCTTTTTGTTGTTCGCTAATGGTTTTGTCTATTTTGTTTATCTTCTCAAAAAACTAACTTTTTGTTTCATTGATTTTTCATATCATTTTTTGGGTCTCTATTTCATTTAGTCCTGCTCTGATCTTATTATTTCTTTACATCTACCGATTTGGAGATTGGGTTGTTCTTGTTTTTCTCATTCTTTGAGGTGTAGTATTAGGTAGTTTATTTGAAATCTTTCTATTCTGATGTAAACATTTATTGCAGTAAACTTCCCTGTTAGTACTGCTTTTGTAGTATTCCACAGGGTTTTTTTTTTTTATTTTATTTATTTATTTATTTATTTTTTCCTTTTTGTCTTTTTTCGTGTCCGGCAACGGATCGCAACCCTCAGTGTCGCGCCCGTACCAGACCGGGACTGGCAACGGGATCGCAACCCTCGGTGTTGCTCCCACACCTCGCTCAGCCAGTGAGCGGGAACCGGTCTGTATGTGGGATCCGAACCCTCGGCAGGAGCGCCACCACGCTCCCAAGCGGCACACTGTAGCAGTGCGCCACCGGGCCGGCCCGTATTCCACAGGTCTTGACTATGATGTGTCTTCATTTTCATTCATTTCGAAAATTTTTTTATTTCCTCCATAATTTCTTTTTGGACCCATAGGTCATTCGGGAGCATATTGTTTAATTTACATTTTTTTGGTGTAGTTTCCAGAGTTTCACTTGTTATTGATTTCTAGTTTTAATCCGTTGTGATCTAAAAAGGTACTTGAAATGATTTCAATTTTTAAAAATTTTTTGAGACTTGATTTGTGACCTAACATATGGTCTATCTCACTGTATTAGTCCATTTCTATTGCTTATAACAAAATACCTGGAACTGGGTAATTTGTAAAGAAACAATATTTATTGCTTACAGTTTTGGAGGCTGGGAAATCCAAAGTGCAGGGAACACATCTGGTGAGGGCCTTGTTCATGGTGACAGTGACACAGGAGTCTCACATGCAGAATCTGGTGGAGCAGAGAGAGAGAGACTGACCTCCTCATTCACTCTCTTTTCAAAGCCACCAGAACCACTGCCATTCCAAGAACAGATCAATCCATACTAGGGTACAGTTGTCACAATCCAATCACCTCTTCAAGACCCCACGTTTCTATTGCCATAGTAGGATTTCTTACCCTTTTAACAGCCAGAGTGGGGATCAAGCTTCTAATACATAAAACTTGGGGGACACAATTCAATCCATATCACCTGAAGAATGCTCCACATGCTGATGAAAAGAAAGTATATTCTGTAGTTGTTGCATGAAATGTTCTGTAGATATCTGCCAGGTCCAGTTAGTCTAAAGTGTAGTGTAAATCCTGTGTTTCTCTATTGATTTGTTGCCTAGATGGTCTGTCCAATGTGGAGAGAGGGGTGTTCAGGTCCCCTACTGTTATCATATTGGGGTCTATTTCTTTCTTTAGGTCTAACAGTGTTTATATATCTGGTTGCTCTGGTGTTGGGTGCATATATATTTATGATTGTTATGTCTTCTTGCTGGATAGATCCCTTTATACAGTGGCATCTTTGTCTCTTTTTGTGGTTT